TGCGCGACGAATGTACCGCACTTTTCTCCGTCGCAGATCATTATATCCTCGACTTTTTTGTGTCATTTTGAAGAGCTTAAAATTCTGAATAGAAAACATCAAACAGAATTATTTTTTCACATCCACCGTGAAAACTATTATCGAAGAATTTTTGTTTTTTTTGGTCACGACGAAATGGTCACGCAGTTCTCTAACCAACATGCATTTCATTTGATCAAAAAGTAATTCTTTTAAGAATTCTATTGTTTTTAAACTAAAGAAATCTATTTAGGGTGAATATTATGTATTTATCAATATTGATGGAACAATAATTAATTTATTAAATATATTAAATAATCAAATAAAAAATTTTGTTTATAAAAAACAAAATTTATCATTTCATGAAAAAATTACATGTGCACAAATTCATCCAAATGAAGAATGTCTCCCATGAGGAACACAATCTGGTCGAATTATTCTTTGGTAAAATATTTTATTTTGATTATAATTCAAATGCTCATTTGTTTTTCAAAGGTTTAATCTTTTAAATTCATCAACAAAAGTACCAACAATATCCTATTTACATTGGCATTCATTACCTGTAATTTGTTTATCATTTTCATTTGATGGTTCGTTTTTTTTAAATTTCTTTAAATATAATATATATATATATAAGGTTGATATTTATTATTATCTGGTGGTAATGAATGTGTACTTGTTAAATGGGATTATCGAAAAAGTGAAGCAACATTTCTATCACGAGTTGGCGCACCAATAATTCATATTAATTGATCAAATGATAAAACATTTAATGTATCTACTCATGAAGATAATTCTATTTTTTACTCGCTTTTTTTATTCAAATAAATCTTATTGTTTCATTTTTTTTTAGGTCTTCATATAATTGGAAGTCATTTATCAATTGTACAAACAATCGATGGAATTAATCATTTGTTTATTCCCCAACAAGCTTCTTTACCATCTGGTAAAAATAAAAAACAAAATTCTCTTTGAGTTGTTATTTTTTCATTATGAAAAAGTTGGAGAAGTCTATGATTGATAGAGGAATGAATATAATTGAAAAATTCCTATTATATCGAAGATGATTTATTCTTGTTTTTATTTTTTAAATCTATATTCAGTTAATTATTTATCTTCTGGAAAAGAATAACCTATCTTTTCTAGTATGATTAACAATAGAAATCTTTGACAATCATCTTCTTTTCTTTCTCATTTATTTTTATCATTATTTATGAAAAATGATTTTCAACAAAAGTTGAAATCATTTTGGTGATTTATTGAGATAGTTTTCAACTTTTAAACATTTCCAAATATTGTTGATTGGATTTTTTTCTAGCTAAAAACGGTAAAAATTCCATATATTTAAAATGTTATTATCCTAGTTAATATTGTTATTCTATGATAAATAAATAAATGAAGATAGATAATGATTATTTATTCTATTTCATAATAAGACTTTTATAATAAAAAAAATATTTATTTTATGAAAATTCTCTTTATCCATACAAAAAAAGAATTTCAAATAATATTTCTTTAAAGGTATTCATAGGTGTTATGCGTCAAGAATCAATTGTTATCAATAGTGGAAAACCTGGTTATCTTCAATTTATCTCAATTAATTATGGAAAATTACTTTATTATGTAATCAACAATAACAAAAGTTTTTTTCAAATTTAAAAATAGAAATAATATTTTTTTTTTTTGTTAAGTTGGATATTGTTCAAGAAAATAATGTTTCACCAAACGATATAACTGATTGATGTCTTGAGACGGATATAAAACGTTTAGCTATTGATCCAACTGGTTTTCATTTAAAAATATTTTTCTTAATTTGTTATATAATTAAGATAAATGGTTAGTTACTTTTGAAGAACGTTCATCAAATTCAAATAAGGATTATTATCTTAATGAAAGAAACACTTAGATTTTCGATATTTAATCAAACAAATAATCAGGAAGATTTTATTTTTTATATATTTATTTATCTCAAAAATAAAAATTTGAATTAAATAGAACAATTATCTATCCACAATGACAATAAATATTAAATAAAATATTATTTCATCCGCATAAACTTCAATTAGCAACAACTGGAAATGATGAATTTATTTCAATTTCGACTTTTATTAGATAAAATAGAATTAAAAGTAAATTTATTATTATTTTATTATTTTAATTGAAAATTCAAATCAAATTATCTATCAAATTAGATTTTAAAATAATATCGACATTTTATTGATAAGAATTCTCGATATTTCAATCGTTATTTCTATTATATTCTCTAATTTCAACTTTTATCAATTAAAATAATTATTTTAGAAATTAAAATATTTCTATACGTTAATTCAGTCAAAAAGTAGTCATAGTGATAGTTTAATACCATCTAATAATCTTTAACAAACGTTTTTCCCAATGTAGTCTTCAAGAGAAAAGGAATAGTCAATTGTTATCATAGTTTTATTTATCTAATTATAATAACAATAGAACGATAAGAACTGTTTTGTTCCTATATTTGACGGTTACCTATCGGTCACTTTTAAAAGAGGGCAGATAAGTATTTTTTTGAATAAATTTTGTTAAAAACAAAAAAGGGTATTGTGGTTTTCACTGTTGGAAAGAGAAGATGAAGATACATAACAATCGTCTATTACAAGGTTTCTTTTGATAATCTTTTCAATAAAC